ATTAGTTGTACGAGAAAAAGTATAATAACCTTTTTTGTAGAGAATTTTATGAGCTACAATTTTGGTAATAACTATTTCTCTGGAAAAATTCATAATTTTCGAGATAATGGCAAAAAACTAAAAAAAGAACACTCTGGATGAAATTAAGGGTACTTTATTTTTTTGTCATTATCTCAAAAACTATCAATTTTTCGAGAAAAATAGTTATTATCGAAATTGTAGCTCATAAAATTTTCTACAAAAAAGGTTATTATACTTTTTCTCGTACAACTAATCGTTTTTGAGTAAAACGTACGGTAAGGTTGCCACGTCTGTAGTTCGTTATATAATCGTTGACTTAATTCGCTCTATATCTTCGAAACGGTTAATTCCACGAAAAAAGTATAATGACCTTTTTTGTAGGGAATTTTATAAAATTAAGGGTACTTTTCAAAATTTCATTAGAACATCGAATTAAAGGTCTCCACAAAAATTTAGTTTGATTATAATTTTTTTGATGTTTTGCCCTTTTCAAGTCTAATTTTACTGGACTAAAATGGCGCGTAATTTTTATTCTCCCATTTGTACGGTGTATCGTGGAAAACAATTTTAATTTTATTTCTCTTTTTTTTCAATTTAAATTCAATTTAATTTTTAAATTAAATCGAGAAGAATGAAACAAAAAGTTTGCTGCGCCTAATTCCTGCGCTCTTTTTTTTTTTTTTATTAGCTCGTTTCCTATACCTGAATTTATTCATTTGTTTAGTATCTCAGAGCCTTTTCGTTTTTTTTATTCGTCATTTTGTAGAATGTAATTCGATAACGTCGGAGTGTGTTTGTAAAAAAGTCGGAATTTCTTCGTGAAATTTATTTATCACGAAATTAAATTCTTTTTCAATTTATCGCGAAAATAATTGAATTTATTAAGCCTTTTACATAGCAGACTCTCGGATATAAGATTTGAATTTATCACTTAGGGTCCAAAGAGGAGGTCCTTCTCGTTTTTTTTTCCAAGTTTCTTTTTTTTTGTCGCGCATTCTTTCAAAGATTTTACGATTTTATTTGGATCGCGCTAAATTTATTTTTCGGCAGATATTTTCTTCCTATCTCGATCGTCTGCGACACGCGTTTTCGCTCGTCGCGAAATTTTTCCGGCCGCCTGCGTTTTTCCCACATTTTACGAGCATCTCCCGAGGATTTTCGCCGCCTACAACTGCATTCTTTAAATAAAATTCTCGCATTTTGCTACTCCCCAGAGAGATATTCTCTAGGATTTTTCCGCAAAATATATTTACGAAATTCCGAGATGTGTGTGTATTCTAGAATTATTTATTCTTGAATTTTATTTTCTCGCCAGCTATCCGTTTCCGAAGATTCGGATGTTTCTATCCCTCTGTCAACGAATCCGTATATGCAATGCGATTTTAAATGTTAAAAATGTGCTGGATCTTTTCTCCATCCTTGAAACGTAATACGACGAATTTATTTGCATGTTAGAAATTTTAAAAATATAACGAGGAAGAAAATTTGATGCAGTTGCTATAAAAAATTATCGCAATATGTCGAAAACACTTATTCATATATTGATGGAAAAGTTATGCAAAAAATTATTTTCATAGAAAGATTAACAAAATCTCTTTTTCTTCTTTGTATGTAGCTCTATTTTAGAACAAGGTTTTATGGAACTTGCGAATTTTTAATCTTTTTTTATATAAAATTTAAAAATACTATATATGTAGAAATATGTTTAAAAATATTATACATGTATTTAAAAAATGTTTACAATTTATAAATAACTTTTTGTTTTTAATTATTTTTTTTTAAATATTGCATTTTTTATTTTTCAATTTCTGCAAAGCAAAATTTTTTATTGCTTAAAATTTAATATTTCATTGAATTAATAATTTAAATTCTCGAATTTGTGGATTTCTGCGTTTTTATTTATTTTTAAACTTTTATACGCAATTTTCTCTCTCTCTCTCTCTCTCTATGAACACAAATATTTAATCTCAAATATTTCGAAGCATTATGAATTGATGAAATATTTAGAACGTGCAATTACAGTGTCTGTCATTAAAATAGAATAAAATGCATTTCCTAAAATATAAGGAATAATCGACGCAGCTGTCAAAAAAAAAAAAAAAAAAAAAAAAATTATCGCAAGGCTATATATCGAAAACGCGCAGTTTGTACCTGGATACTTTATATTGTTGGAAAGGTGAAAAATTATGCATTGACGGAACGTGAAAGATCGAAGATACAGGAGACTTCGCGGTTCGATGGATCTTATGATTGAAATGTATTTGATCGCAGAGACGGAGGAGTTTTTTAATATTCCCGCCTTACTCTGACCTCCTCGTTTCACTTTCAGTTTGCGTATTCCTTAGTCGATCGACTGAAATGCTCTGGAAGCTCTAAACGACGTCAAATATGATTCTCCTCCTCCTCTCTTTCGCAACTTACTTTCGATTCCTTCGACAAGTATTGCCGATGATCCTGTGTACGAGAATATTCGAAGGAATATATTTCAGATCCCCTGGATGAATATTAAATTGATTTCTCTCTCTCTCTCTCTCAGGTTGATATTTAACTTTTGTAAAATATATCGATTCTCTGGTATTTTTACAATTTTTCTCAGACGAAAAATATTTAGGGACCAAAATAGGGAGATGTCTTTATTAAATTCTTTGCATATTTGAATTATGGAGGAATAAAGAAGATTTTCTTTCATTCTTATTCGAGTTATTTTTCGATGTGAAAATATTAAGAGCTATATTAAGAGAAATTTATTTTAAGAAAAAAGCTAATAATATATAAGTTTAAGCTCGCGAGGCAAATATTGAGTTTCGAGGGATTCTCCGAAAGCCGCGTGTTCTTGGAAAATCTTTTTCCAGAAAACTACTTTGATACTTGAAATGTTATTAATAGAAATATTGGGAGAGGAAAGATCCACGTATTACATTTTTAGGAAAGAAACTTCGGGGTATTATTTCAGGATATTTTTAATGGAGGAATATCGCGAGACTTTCAATTAAATTGAGAGGGTGAATATTAATTTAACCCTTCTGTCGATGAACAGATATTCAAATTTTATAAAAAAAGTCTTTGTATTTGTACGTCAATGAAAAGGTGAACGAAAATTATATAAAAAAATTATTTAAACATATTATATAAATTATACAAAAATTACACAAATTACATAAATTATGTTCGAGAATAAAAATTATTAATTAAGTGAAAATTTAAATTCCAAGAAATAAAAAAATGTGTTTCGTGAAAATTGGAATATAAAAAATTAAAATTAAGACAGTTAAAAGTAAGAAGGTTGGGTTATGCATAATCAAAATTATATAAACGATCTATTGTTAGATTACGAGCGAGAATGTGGAATGTAATGGGACATTTTGTCATTAAAATTTTCACTAGTTTGAATCCCGAGCATATTATATATAAAGTGACATAAATTCATGAGGGAAACTCCTCGGTTGCCAACACATGTGAGTTGACTTGACGGGAGGGTAACCGCGTCTTGCGATAGTTACCGGTATGTTCGTGCGAAACGGAGTGACAAAATGACGTAAATTCGTGCCGTCGTATTGCCGCGCGAAAACGCACCCTCCCGTCAGGCGCAATGGCGTGTTTTGAGAGCCCACGGTTTACAACGCGATGGATGTGTCGTTAATAATTGCGAAAGCATCCGCTGCGAAAATTCAAACAAGCTCAGAAATTCCCTCTTTACGAAATTGCACCGGGATTGATCGTCCCGCATATACAGGGTGTTTTACGCAAAACAATATAGTGGTATTAAAGTAGTATCAGAAAAAAAATGATGATTTCTTCAGCATAACAAGGAGAGAAAATTAAGAAAAATTTTTTTATAACGGGATGATGCCGTAGTTCTGTTTTACCGACTTTAAGTTAGGTTAACTTTTTATTGAATATACAGATTGAAAAATCCTCTACAATGAAAGTATTTTTATTACTTCTGCATTATTCTTTCATGTCATCTCTATTGGGAGCGCCATATTTTGTGCACAAATGAACTGCAGAACTTTTGTATTAAATAAGTATTGTTATGAGTTGATGCGAGAGGTCGATAAAAAAACTAATTTTTTAACTTTTATTATTTTTTTTACACGAAATTACAGCGTTCCCTGTTCATTATTATCAGTATTTTAATTGTGGAAAAGGATTTTTTAATCTGTATAGCCAATAAAAAGGGTATTTTAAACGTCCTTGAGAAGTCTGTTGTTTCTTTCCTGTTTTATCGACAAAATGTGAGGTTAGATAAACTATAAATCTATTTATTGGCTATAAGGATTGTTTTTTTACCTGAAATTAGAGCGCTTCGCCCTTTGTTAATATTAATACTTTAATTTGTACAAAATTTATCAATCTATATAGTCTTATATATCTAGGTTACAGAATTATAAATTCAAGAATGCTGTAACTGTAGATATACGAGACTATACAGATTGATAAATTTTTTTCTTGTACAAACTAAAGTATAAAAATTAACAAAGAACGAAGCGCTCTAATTTCAGGTAAAAAACAATCCGTATAGCCAATAAATAAATTTATAGTTTATCTAACCTCACAGTTTGCCGAAAACAGAAAGGAAACTTAGATTAGCTTAGGATCCCCTTAAGAAACTTCTTCAGAGGGAAAACAATATGAAAGATATTTTCGTGAATTAGAAATTAAAATAATAGAAATATATTTTGATATTTATTGTTATTATATAATCCGTTTTTTCATATTTCTCTCTCTTTAATTTTTATTAATTTATATCTTCGATTTATACATTTTTCAATTAGCTGAGCCGACTGTTTAGCCTCCATTTATTCAAATTATATAAACACATAGGGAAGAATTTTCCTCTCTCACACACGTCGTACACATATTAATGATTCTATAAATGATACATTATGACAAATGACAAAACATCCAATGGATAGAACACGAAGAGCAAGCTGACAGAAAGATTTGCGATTCGCAAACACATATCTGACTCGGCATACCCGTTGCGGAAGCTGCATCTGCGCGGCGAGGGACCGTGTTGCTGCAGCTGCAGCTGGTGCTGTTGCTGCAGCTGCACCTGTTGCTGCAGCTGCGGTTGGTGCTGCAGCTGCACCTGTTGCTGCAGCTGCGGTTGTTGCAGCTGCACCTGTTGCTGATGCTGGAGAGTCGATTTTGACGGGGTTTGATTACCGGGGCTGCCGGCCATACCCTCGAGACCTCTCGACAGCTTCAGCATCTCCGCGCCGAAGGCGTGCAAGGCGGACATGGCCGAGGGTGGCGGCTCGCTTTCCGGCAGCCAGAGCTCGTGGGTGTCGAGAGTGGTCAGTTCGGTGTCGGTCGACGTGCCGGAAGTGTGCTGCGGCGTGCCGCCGCTTCCGCCCGAGCTTTTGTTCAGGAGGTACCTCTTCCAAGTGTTCCGTCGATCGAGTCCTGAAAATTGTCGGACAGAATCGGGGAGACCTTAGCGATTATTTATTCCAATTTTTTTGCTTCTTGCGTTTGTTGGTGAGGAAAGAGAGGATTTTGATGATTTTTTTTTGTTTGATATGTAGCAGAATGAATTTCCTTTTTTTTTTATTGGAGAATGTATGGATTTTTATTAATTTTAGCGCTCGGAGATGATGAGGGAGTGTGAGGAATTATTTTTTTTTTTTTTTTTTGATCGAAGAAGAGAGTTTAAATGTATATTTTAAGCTTTCTTGTTAATTTTAAATTTAACTTCTAATTTTTAGAAAGGTCAAAAGAGTCAGGGAATTAATAATATTAGAGGAAAATATTGGAATATTTTGTCGAGTTTTTTTTTAGAATTTTTTACGAATTGCTCCTCTAACTATTTATTTTTTATTATCAGTTTACATGTAGCTCAGAAATGATCTGGTAAATGGGATTAAGTATCTTGCAAGTAAAAATTTGTATGATTTCAAATTCTATATAAAAAAAAAGAACAGTACTTTCAAGTACATTCAAACTTGAATCAAGTATATTCGCATCTTTTATGAGTACTTATGAGTACTTATGAAAAATATACGAGTACTTATGAGAAATTTTACGTTTTATATATATAGATTTTTTAAAGTATTATTTTTTAAAAGATTCGATTCTTAACAATAAGAAAGCGTAAGTACTATTTGGAATTTTATAGATACTACAATCTAAAATTCGAATACAATTATTCTGGACCCGATTATGCCTAGAAATTACCTAGAAAACCTAGAAAATGAAACTTTAATTATTAGAAATTCCGACATGAATTTTTAAGTCGAACTTGATGCCATTTTTATTAATTTCTTTGAAATTTCTCCTTCTTTTTTCTCGCATATTAAAAAAAATCGTCTGGAATTCTGAAGTGTCTGTCTCGAGTAGGTTTATGCCTCGGGTCGTAACGCGCTCAAAGGATCTCCACGTCGTGTCCTGCGAAATCCTTCGATCCTGCGGAATATTAAGCGCTCCCGGGTAAAAAATCGCGCTTCCAGCCCCGGGAGCTATCGATTAATTTTCATATCGGACGCGACTTTCTCAGCATACTGTGTCGCATCCGAGTTCTTTGCATAATGTCCGCCATTTGCATATCTCTTCGTCGTGGACGTCGGCGAGCTTCCGGTGACGTGCCGGCGAAGTTTCTTGTCGCGAAGTGCTTTCAAACAGAGACAGAGCCTCGCCTATTTCTCTCTTTCTTGCTCCATCGATCGCCGGGATCGATCTTCCGCGCGAAAAATGAAAGAAAAAAAAAAGAGGAAAAAACCAACCATTAATCATGCGAGACTCTGCATCCTCGATGTTGCGCGCCGAATTATTTATACCGTAATGATTAGTTGCACACGATGGAGATTCGCGAGGATAGATAAGAAAAATAATTCACCCCCCATCATTAGCGAGTTTTGGCTGAAATTCTCGAATTTAGAGGAAATCGCTTCGAGAAATTCGGAGATCAAGATTTTTAACAGGGTGTCTATTTCTACTATTTTAAAATTTTCATAAAATTTCACGTGCTTTTACCTCTTTTTAATATAGAAAAATCTTATTTAAGTATCATAGAAAATTATTCCATTTTTTAATAATGGTTTAATAAATTAGAAAACATATGAAACTATTTCTAATAAATTATTTATTGTTTTATTCTTTATTTTGTAATTTTATACATCTCTTCAGCGTTTAGATGTAATGATATGATATGGTATATACATACGATTAATAAATCAATATTCTTTGTAATATGCATTCTTTGTAATCGTAAATGAATAGAAGGGAAACTTATTTTAAAAGGCATCTACAAATTTTATTTTATCTAGAATTTCAAAGGAAAATATCTGGAAGATAAGAGAATTCTTTGGGAATTTTTTTACCTTAGAGATTTGAATAGACACCCTGTTTAATTTTTTTTTACAATGTAAGATGTAATCTCGCAACTTTTTGCAATTTTATGAATAGAAAAAGAAACATTTTATTTTATCTAGAACTTCAAAGGAAAATATCTGGAAGATCAGTACTATAAAAAATATGTAATATATTACACAGAAATGTGTAAAATTACATAAATAATAAGTGTAAAATTACACTTATAAAATAAATAATAGAAATGTTTGCCTTTTCATTATTTATCATGTAATTTTATATTTATTATTTATGTAATTTTACATACTTTTAACGTAATTTTACGTATTTTTTTTACAACGAAGGAATGTTTTGATCCTAGAGATTTGAATAGACACCCTGTTTAATCTTTTTTTACGACGTAAGATGTAATCTTTCTTTTCCTACTTTATTTATATTTAACGAAGAGGCACTTAATAGGGAAACGTGCTGTAAACCGCAATAATTGCGCGATGCGCCGCGCAAAATGGCGTAGTGTATTCTGGCGTAAAGTTGGTATGCAAATTCCGTTTGTTGCGCGGTAATCGGAGATTTGCCGGAGTAAAATCAAAGCGACAGTAGACGTGATGGCTTCCGGCGAAACCTCGCCGGAAGTGGGACGGAGAGAGAGAGAGAGAGCGAAGGAACGCTTTCTCTCTCTTTCGAGCGCTTTGTTAAGGAGGAGACGAATTTGCGACCCAACATTCCGGGAAAACGTTTATGAGAGAACGAAACCCCCGGAACGCGCGCTTTTCTTTGAAGCCGCGGGCATTTGATAAATTGGAATAAATAATAATTTTTATCGGGATGGAAAAAAAAATAATCGTACATAGCCTGCTTCTGAGTTGCTCATTTTTGCGTAAACTGCCGCGTGTCCCCAGGGAAAATCGGGAAATATTGTCGCTCGGAAGAATTGCTCGACAATGAACGAAGAATAAAGTAGAAAATAGACGATGAGAGGGCTATATATGTACACTACCGCTCAAAAGTATCGGCCCACCTAGGTAAATTGTGTTTAAATGATTAAATGACTATAAATGACTATAAATAAACGACTATAAATGAATGACTATAAATGACTATAAATAAATGATTATTAATGACTATAAATGAATGACTATAAATGACTATAAATAAATAACTATAAATGACTAAAAATTAATGACTATAAATATAAAATGACTATAAACGACTATAAATAAATAACTTTAAATCACTAAAAATTAACGACTATAAATGACTGAAAATAATGACTATAAATGACTATAAAATTTGTCTATTACTCTTTCCAGCCTTACGAAATCCGACAATTATGCCTCTCATCTCGTCAGATAATTTCTTTTTTACTATTTTAATATTATGTGGAAGAATAAAAACAAAACTATTTTTGCAAAATGTGCATTGAAAGATGTTGTCTGTTCAAATGGCAGCAGATAACTGACGTAAATGTATATTCGCTACATTCTAAAATATCAAATAAACAAAAAAAATTCCATGAAACACGGGTCTCTGTAATAAAAACTTAAAAATACTCATTTTAAGAAAAGAGTCATAAATACCTTATTTGACTTTCTTGCTATTTGTTAGTAAACGTGAAGTGATATTTATAATATAGCTATTGAAAACGACTTTCCGTTAACGCATAAACTGATAAACATCGATGAAAGACAATAGACACAATTTAGTTTTTTTTAAATTAAGGGTGGGCAAATACTTTTGAGCGGTAGTGTATATATATATATATATATATATATATATATATATGTATATAAGTGTGTGTGGTATCTTTTATCAAGATTCTGATTTATTTAGCTAGCTGTATATTAAAATGTTTATTCTTTGTTATATGTGATATATAATACAATTTTATGTGTACGTTGTATATATGTAGAAAAAATAGGTGGAAAATTGATAAATTGATATAAACAACGTTTTTAGAGGCGCAATCATTTTTTTTCATTTTTTTTATCGCTGCCAAATGAGCGAGAGAAAAGTGGGTAAAAGTGCTTCGTGGAATGATAAGAGAAATATTTGAGATGAATAAAAAAATAACATATTTTTTTAACCACTTGTTATTTAATTAAAATTCGAGGAAGGTCGTGATTTTTCCGTCGAAATATTACGAAGCATCAAGAATTTGTTAGCGCGTAAAAGAATTTGAAGGATCGAAAATTCTTTAAATATATTTTCGAAATTGTTTAAAGTTGTATACATATCCCTAAACTAAAACGAGATGAAAAGTATGGATAATGACTAAATTTATGAATACTAAGATGACTATTCGATAAATTAATATTTTTAATCCTTTGATATGTTGATTTTCGATTTTTATATTTAATTTAGGAAATTAAATTGAAAATAGAAAAAAGGAATTTGGAGGATTGAAAATTCTTTAAATCACCAGGACGAGATGAAAGGTATAAATGATAGTTCATGAATATCAAGATATTCGATATATTAATATTTTTAATCCGACGAATTGTTGATTTTTTTATTTTTATAATTAATTAAAAAAATTAAATTGAAAATGGAAAAAGGAATTTGAAGGATCGAAAATTATTTAAATATTTTTTTCGAAATTTTTTAAAGTTGCAAACATATTTCTAAACTAGGACGAGATGAAAAGTATGAATGATGGTTTATGAATACCAAGATATTCTATATATATGAATATTTTTAATCCGATGAATTGTTGATTTTTCGATTTTTCTAATTAATTTAGAAAATTAAATTGAAAATGGAAAAAGGAATTTGGAGAAATGAAAATTCTTTAAATATATTTCCGAAATTTTTTAAACGTCAACACATTTTAGGACAAAATGAAGGATATGAATGATATTCGATTTGGTATTAATATTTTTAATTCTAGAAATTGTTAATTAAATTTCAAATTTATAATTATTCAGAAGGAACGAATGAAATGAAAAAAGGATTAAATATAGGGAAGCGCGATTCCAGGATCGATCGATTTTCGGGAGGTAACAGGCTAGTGTACGCGACAATACACGAACCTGTCGCGGAAGGTGCACCCTGAGGCGCACCCTGAGGCGCACCCAACCATCCTGATGACCAACCTGCTCCTTTCCCACCGATGTTCTGCTGTTGCTCCGCTAGCAATCTCACCGTCAATGCGTACGTCAACAGCATCACGCCCAGTGGGATGTAGAAGCAGATTATGCTGCCGATTAATTTGTAAAGGGGATCGGGAATCTGACAGGCACCATCCACCAACACCGAATCGTCCTCCTGAAACAGGACGAGAAAATGTGTCTGATATAATTAACGTTTATGTCAATTCGCGTATGGATTTGTTAAACGTATGCTTCTCCCCGGAGGTTATTAAATTAGAATTAGTTATTATTTAATCATTTATTTATTTATAAATTGTTTTAAAAATTTATATAGCGAGGTTTGCTAAATTTATGATTAATAAAATCTATGACTAATCTTATTAATTCTTAAAACTTGATTTAACTCTTAACTAGAGTATCGTGGAGTCAAAAATGACCCAAGAGGTGTAAAAACTAATCTTAATTTTCTTATAGTGATTTTAAAAAAGTCATGTAATTATTAACAACACATCAATAAATGACTGATATGATTGATTGATACTTTTGGAAGAGTGTATTGTTTCATTTAATCAAATAAATAACCATAAAAATATAATATCCCACTAATGAGAAAGTATTTTACCTTGGGGTCTCAAATGACCCTCCGATACCAGTTAAGTCAGTGAGTTTGACGATACCAGTTAATGGTTAAAATTATAAAGCAATTTTATTTAAGTTTATATTATATAATTATAAATATTTATAAATTATAAAATACACATCGAAATAGAGTGCGGATAGAATACAAATATAAGAGTGTGCGAAGGGGCTGAGAACGCAAAAGTTAGGAGCACAATTTCTCGCATGTTTCAGGACTCCGGAGCAGTGTCCCAGCGTGGTGTCCCTTTTAGCGGAGAGCTATAATCCGCACGTGAGATACGGGGCGGCGATGGCTTTGGGGATCGCCTGTGCGGGCACCGGTCTGAAGGAGGCCATCGCTCTGCTGGACCCGATGACCAACGATCCGGTGAACTTTGTCAGGCAGGGAGCGCTGATCGCCTCCGCCATGATCCTGATCCAACAGACGGAGGCGACGTGCCCACGCGTCAAGGATTTCAGAGCTTTGTACGCTAAGGTCATTGTGGACAAACACGAGGACGTGATGGCTAAGTTCGGGGCGATTTTGGCGCAAGGAATCATCGATGCCGGTGAGTCCTGATGGAATTTCTCTTCGACGAATTCTTCATTTTTCTTTAATCCTTTTAATGTGTGTGAGATTTAATTTTGTAATAATTGTAGTTTTATTTTATTTTATTTTGACAACTGTCAAACTGTACCCTCTCAACAGCTGCTCTCAACAGTTGCTCGAGGCTATAAATCTAACGTATAAAAATGCGAATTGAGACAGACAATCAGTATCGCGAAAAAACAACAACAATGTCAATAACATGCCTTTTTTATATAAAAAGGGGGATTGTAATTTTATTTAATTTTATTTTGACAACTGTCAAACTCTCAACAGCTGATGCTTGAGGCTATGAATCTAACGTATAAAAAAGTGAATTGGGACAGCCAATCAGTATCGCGGAAAAGCAACAACGATGTCAATAACGTACCTTTTTTTAGAAAGGGGAATCAAACGCATAACAACAGCCAATCAGCATCGCGGAAAAGCGACAATAATGTCAAAACATGCCTTTTTTTTGGAAAGGGGACGTGTTTTGGAATAAAATACAAAGGTCTTTTGTATTTGGAAATTTCCTAAAATATAACGAAAAAATATGTTTGATGCAGCTGTTGTAAAAAAATTATCGCAGTGCGCAAATATGTAATTGAGTAACCTGGATATATTGTTGGGAAGATGAATAATTATTTTGACAGGAGGGTTAATAAAATCGCTATCCTATATTTTTTTCCTATTGTAATGGGGCGAGAAGAAAGGAGATTAAAGATCCTGAATTCATGGAAAAGAAAATTCTAGTTTCATAGAACTTGCGATTCTTAATTCTTTCATGTAAAATTGAAAAATATTAATTTTTATGTATGTAGAATGTCGAGAAAAAGCTTTTCACATTTCATTTATGAGCTTGCTTTTTAAAATAATACATTTTGCGTTTGTTTTAATGTTTGCAAAGCAAGAACTTTTTCAATAATTAAATATTATAAATTAATAATTAAAATCCTCAAATTTTTAGATTTTTACATTTTTAAACAATTTTTATCTAGCGCAAACATTTTTGCAGCATCGCGAATGTACGAGACATATGTTTAGACGTACAATTACTGCTTTTGTCGTTAAAACTCGGGTATGCGGCTCGTACAAAACAAAAGAGAAGAAGAGAAGTCAGCTGGGAGTAAAGACTTCTGCTTTTTTCTTAGGCGGTCGAAACGTGACCGTGTCCCTGCAGTCGCGAACAGGACACACGAATATGCTGGCGGTGGTGGGCGCTCTGGTGTTTACCCAGTACTGGTACTGGTTCCCCCTGGCTCATTGCCTGGCCCTGGCGTTTACGCCCACGTGTCTGATCGCCCTGAACGCTCAGCTGAAGATGCCCAAGCTGAAGATCAGGTCGGACGCCAGGCCGAGCATGTACGCCTATCCGCGCCTCTTGAGGAGAAGAAGAGGGAGGAGCGAGAGAAGGTCACCACTGCTGTCCTTAGCATCGCGGCTCGCGCCAGGAGACGCGAGTCCGAGAGGAAGGCAAGGGATTCGCACGAGAAGATGGAGGTGGTGAGTTGATTGGAATGATGAAGCTTTACGGATTATTCGTCGAGAACGAATGAACATTTTTTGAAAGCCCCTTGTATCCCTTGCTCCTTCTTTGAAAAGAGTTGTCCTTTATTTGTATTTTAGATCATTAATGTTTAGACGGTATTAATATTAGTAAATTAATATTTAGTAATATTAATAAATTTATATTAATAAAAACAGTTTTTATAAAAACATTCTATATAAGAGGGAATAATATATTGTGTATCAAGTGCGGAAAGTTGAGAATTGGTCACGAGTGCGGGGGATGGATGCACGAGCCGAAGGCGAGTGCGACCATTCCACACGAGTGAACAATTGTCAATCCGCATGTGATACACATACTATTTTATATTACAAGTGCAGGCAAAGTGGCTTTGTGCGCGTTTTCTGTGCGCGAGGTGGCCGATCGCACGCCGCCATCTTGCGGCGGCACGATGCGGGAATAGCCGTGTTCAAAGTTATTGTCCACGGCTGAAGCCGTGGGCAATGACTTTGAACGCGGCTCAGTCGTAGGCAATGGCTTTGAATGCGGCTTATTCACTCACCGCGTCGCTAGATGGCGGCGTGGGAAATCGGTCGCTTTCCGCACAGAAAACACGCACACAAAGTGCCACTTTGCCTGCACGTGTAATACAAAAAATTATTATTGTTATTTTTTCCTCATCGTGATTCTTATTTTTATTCTTGCTTATTGGAACATTTTATTCACGAATTTTAAAATCTGTTTTTATATTCATAAATTTCAATTTTTTGAATTTCTAATTTCTGTATGCTTTAAATTTTTACTTTAACTCAAGCCTTGGTTGTTTATTTATCTTTTTTTGGAATGAATTCTTGCAAGTTTTTATGCGTCAATTTAAAAATTCTCAACATTCTTGTTTTAGTACTCGTATACAATTTTCAACATTTCCTGTTTTGTGAATGTTTGCTCAGAGATTTGTAAGTGAAAATTTCGTATGAATCTTTCTTTAGCATTATCTTTATATATCTGTGCATCTCTTTTTAGTCTCTTAAATACATTGAATCTCAAGTTAGAACATGCAACTTTGATGAACAAGAATAAAGTTTTTAACGCAAAAAATCCTCTTCCTGTCAAAGAACCAATTTCTTTCTGAAACGTTCGATAATCCGTTTCTTCCTATTTTGGGTTTTACTGGTAAACTTGGCGATTTGCATGGCAAATACGCGAAAAGGGCAGGATAATAGATTGCTGGCAAGCGACAAGCTGGGGAAAATCTAAAAAAATATTACAGGATCCGCCTTCGGAGACGAAGGAGCTTCACGAGGTGAAAGAAGCCGCCGCGTCGTCCTCGAAGGAAAAGGATGAGAAGAAGAGGGACGAGAAGGAGCCTAAGGAGTCCAAGGAGAAGCCCGAGAAGAAAGGAAGTAAGGACGATGAAAAGGAGAAGAAGGAGCCCGAGACGAATTTCGATTTAGTTGAGGTCCTCCAGAATCCCGCGCGAGTCCTGCGTCAGCAGCTTAAGGTCATCCAGTTGTTCGAGAATAGCCATTATGTTCCCGTCAAGGATATTCAGATCGGCGGCATTGTTATGGTTAAGCATATACAGACCGACACCGAGGAGGAGCTCGTTAAGCCCGTCGCCGGTAAGTCATTAATTCTAAATTTAATGATCAAATTTTTTTATTAATATTTATGATAAAATTAGGGCGAAAGAAATGAGATAAAAATTTTGAAATAGTCTAATTAGATTTTCATTATTCATTTATTTTGGACAGAAGGAGAAGAAAAATTAAAAACATTTAATTATTTTTTACATTCACGTATATTTATTATAGGTATATTAATTTAATATATATTATATTGTATATGAATTATTATTTATTAATTATTATATATTATATATATATTATATATATATATATATATATATATATATATATTATATATATATATATATATTATATATATATATATATATTATTTATTGTATATTAATTTTTAGATTTTCAAGAGCTTATATTTTTTATAGTAATTTATAATGTTTGCAGAGGAAGAAATATTTCAAATACTATATAAATAAAATTATTATATAAAAACGGGATGCACAAGAGCAGTTTTTTATCTGCTCTTATTACAGCAGCATCTATTTTAAGGGAAGGACGTGTGCCTACGAGCGCTTTCGATTTGTTTCAGCTTTCGGGCCAAAACCAGAGGAGGAGAAGGAGGCCGAGCCACCCGAACCCTTCGAATACAACGAGGATTAAGGGCCGGAAACACGCATTACCCCTTTCTATCATCCCGACGTCCGTCATACGTCATCGCGATAAAATCGCGGCACGCTTGTCGTCACGTTTCATTAATATATTCTGTCTTTTTTTATACCGTTGCGATTTTCCCTTTCTCTTTCTTGTGCGTGTCTGTCTCTGGTTAGCTAAATACTCTGCGTGCTCCAATAAAATCGTTGCGTCAGATCTACTCGTGTTATCAGTGTTGTTCACCTGCAACCCTTTAATTAGGTCTCCAAGCAACAATTATCGACTCTAGGAATTAATTGGTCGTTCGCGAACTTAGTTGTTTATATAGATCTTTTTTTTCTACCTATTGTTTTGTACGATAGAGGAAATTTAATGAGAAGAAAAAATGAAAGATTTCAGGATGTAAAATATAATTTTTACACTGTGCGCAACGATTGTAAATAAATTATCATATATGTGTGTATCCTCGATTTTGTCAGGAGTTTTGTTATTTTCTACAAATTAATAAATTAGATAAATAAATTTATAATGATTTATGTTATTTAATAATTTAGATTGTTATCGGAACAATAATGTAAAATCTCTTTTTATGATTTCATGTTTTTATTTAAAATTTGATTAGTATTAACACATACTTTTTTATATCTGCCGTAATATAATGAAATTATTTCAGTGAAAGAATGTGTTATTATTCTCCTCTCACATTCCTCGTATTATGGTTTTACAAAAATCAAGAAGAATTAGCGAAGTTCGTGAAATTAATTATTTATAGAACGATAAGTAGAGATATTTATGAAACAATTTAGTGTGCATTTATTATTTGTATTAATTTTTATTGAAAATATTTCTCACTTGTATTAATTTTTATTGAAAATATTTCTCACTCGTATTAATTTTTATTGAAAATATTTTTCACTTGCATTATAATTTTTTCATCAAAAATACGATAAGTAGAGATATTTATGAAAGAATTTTGTGTGCATTTATTACTTGTATTAATTTTTATTGAAAATATTTATCACTTGTATTAATTTTTTTGAAAATATTTCTCACTGACATTAATTTTTATTGAAAATATTTTTCACTTGCATCCAAAATATATGCTTCAGAAAAAATTGCAATTTCACGAAATCGTCTTGCGAGCGGACAGATTGTTGCGCAATATTCGCGCCATTTTCCTACAAATTATTTATTAACAATTTGCACTCGCGACAGTCCCAGTCTATTCTTCCACGTCCGTTCGAGCGCTTTATCGCGAAAGTCGCAGAGTCTCGAGTTTCCGCGAGACAACACACTCCATAATTCATCGCGCTCGTCGTTAAACTTTGACGCGGAGGTTTCGCCCGCGTATAGACATGAATCTTCCTGGAAATACGCTTCCGCTCTCAGTCTCTGTTGCCTGTAATCAGCTCGTATTCCGCTTCCGCTGTCGACGCTCCTGATGATCGAACGTGGGTCATAACGCCCGTCGAGCGAATGGGGTGACGGGGGTTGAAAGGGAGACTAGATGGACGTTCTCTCTAGTTGTGAGATTATGGCCCACGCACGTGTACATCCGCCGCACGTGTGTTGACCGGAACGTGCGCGAATTCCGCCCCGACGTCACGTCGATAACACTCGTGACGTCGTGACGGCTCCCGAGGGTGAATCGGGGTGGCTTAAGACGTCAGCCGGCGCTCTTTAATTTTCCACATTTGAGATTTAAGGTCCTCGCCGGGAAATCGAGGAAATCACCGCAGGAGGAAGAGTTTCGGGAATTCGAGCCGAAATCGGGAAAAAAGAATATTTTTTTTTAACACAGGTGGAAAATTTGTATTATTATAATTTTATATATATATATAAATAATATATAAAAAAATAATAAAATCATATTAATATATATCTATATAATATATGTATATATATATCTCTCTATATATATATCTTATATCTCTTATCTATCTATATCTCTCTATTCTCTCTTCTCTCTCTTTCTATATTCTAACTCTCTCTTTCTTCTATCTTATCTCTTCTTCTTCTCCATCTCTCTTCCCCCTGTCTCTCTCTCCCTATCTTTTTCTCTTCTATTCTCTCTTTTCTATATCTCTCTCTCTATATCTATCTCTCCTCCCTCTTTTTATCTATTCTTTTTTTATTCTATTTAACATATTTATGTGTCAATTTAACATATTGAAATTGCATTAATTGAATTTAAATGTTAAATTATTAAACCAATTGAAAAAAGTGTAAAATAACATTTTTAATTCTACCAATAAATATGAATTATTAGTGACAAGATTTATATATATATTGTATATATATCTGTATTATATATCTGTTAAAATTTAGACAAAAGAAACATGTTTTATTTTATAATTGTAATTTTATTTTATGTGAGAATATAATGTAAAATTAACATTTTTTTTAGTTAATTTTACACAAAATTTATTATAAGTTTACTGGAAGTTTGCATTTATTTTATATTAAAATATTTTAACACAGTATTCGTGTTACCATTTAACATATCCGTATTATGTTAAATTAACATAAAAGTTTCTGTGAACCATTTGGGATATGTGATATTTACTAAATTAAACACCAATTTTTCAACTGTGCAAACTTTTGAGAATTTAGAAATTTCTCGGGAGATTCGAGAAGAACGAAGAATTTTTCCATTCCGAACAAAGAGAATAAAAATAAGAGTAAAATTAATTTCATCAATTAAAATTTATTAAATACTTAATAATGAAATTAAAGTTCTTGTATCTCCTTGAAAATTCCTGATAAAATTTAAAAGTTTTCAAGAGATAAGAAGGAAGATCGAGAGATTTAAAGATTTTGAAATAAATTTTTTTTATTTGAGTTTTTTGTTATATTAACATTTTAGATATAAAGAAAAAATCAAGAATTTAACTCATTTTTTAGACATTATAAAATAAACTAGAAAAAATTTTTTAGATTTTAAGATTTTAAGGATTTAAAAATTTTATTAACTGTATAAATTTTGTGAAAATTTTTAAATTGAATCAAAACACATTCAGATTCTCAAAGTATAAGTAAAATTGAAATTTAGAGCCTGAAAAAATTCGAGATTTTAAAATGTGTAAAAATTTTAGCGTGTGAAGCTAAAAGGTTCTGTCTCATTCACATATTAAAACTTATATCCATGCATTTTGTTTTTATTGAAGGAGAATGAAATCTGGGATACAAAAAATTAATAAAAATTAACCAAAATTTTCGACGAAAAGTGAATTTTAATTTATGAAAAATTTCTACAAAATGTTTATGTTAAATTTCAATAAGTCGGGCATCGCTGAAATTATCCAGCTATATAATATTTCCGAGAAATTCTACAATTTGCCGAATATTCACAGATATATGTTGTATAAATCTCCTCACGTATATCGCGTAGGAGTGAGAACTCTTTGTCGGATTAAAGTACTTAAGGTAAATAACGTTACACGGCGCGGAAGAACGTGAAATACATTATTATATACACCGGACGGGATATTTTTGTATAATATTTGCTATATATTTAAATATAACGTAAAATTTTTTATAAATATTTACATAAAAGTACTTTTAAAATTTCTTACAAATATTTACAAGTACTCATATAAATATAAATCTCTCATACAAATATTCATGACTCGCGAACGTATTTTATCTAATTTTTAATATTTGAAAATATTCTTATTTTTTGAGTACTTAAAAAATATTCTTGTTTCTCGAGTACTTAAAAAATATTCTTGTTTCTTGAGTACTTAAAAAATATTCTTGTTTTTTGAGTACTTAAAAAATATTCTTGTTTGAGTACTTAAAAAATATTCTTGTTTTTTGAGTACTTAAAAAAGTACTCAAAATTTTTTTCTAGTATTTAAGAAAGAGAGTACTAAAAATATTGTTTTTGAGTACTTAAAGAATTCTAATCCATCTTCATGTTTGAATCTACCTGAAAGTATTGTATTTCAAAAGTATTGTATTTTTAAAGTAATCGGGAAAATTTTTGTCGCGTCGGCCGGGCATCGGGCGACAAATTTTACTCCGGATGTTGGATGGAATTTTGAATGAGAGTACATGGCGGCCGCGAAATTTGGATCAATACCCAAGTAAGGCAACGCGCTGGTAAATGGTGCTGTAAAGTTGTTGAAACTCGTCCGACAAACTCATCGATGCGGCGTTCTGCGGCGGTTCTCTCCCTCTTACTCTCTCTCTCTTTCTCTCTCTCTCGCTCTTGCACGTGCTGAGAGAAACGAAAGTAGTTTGCACATTTGCAAGAGCAGTTTGCAGCTTCTACGATGAACACGCTCGGAGGGTAAGAAAATAACCTGTTAGACGTGTACACGTCATCACGTGTTCCCGCGGGAGCGAGAAACCCGCCATAACATGTTAGATTTTCCACCGAATCCGCCAGCACGTCACGTTTCCGTTTCGTGAAAATTAAAGGACGACGAATATAATTACTTCATTGTCGCGTAATTAGTTAGTTTTCCAAGCGCGCGCACCTTTATATATATTACACGACTTGTCACGGGAATTTTAAAATGAAGTTAAAAGGCAAAATGAGAAAATGAAAATTTCTCGAAAGTGTAATGTGTGCGTATAAATACACGTGGCGCACATTTCATGTGCATTTGGCAGCGAAATTTCAATGGTTGAAAAAGTTTTTCCGGGCGATTTTGCTCGACATTAGTTGACGCGAAACGGTAGGAAAATTTATGAAAGGGACGCGAAATAACACGAGGAAATAACGGACAGCTGTTTTATTATGTGCCTGTTTGACGTCGCGTCGCTTCATTTAAAGGTGGGATCAAGTTTAATATGTACTTAAAAATCCGAGACGAGAATTTAACATTTTATTTTCTAGGATTTAAGTAAATATTCGTGAGAAATAATATTTATAAAAATATTTGTATTTCTTTGCGAAGTACTCGAATTTAAAACTGTTTGAATTTTATTTGATCGAGTACTTGCAAGATATGAGAAATAGTATTTATGAGTACTTTTTATTACACAAATAAAGAATTAAATATTTAACAAGTGAGTTTCTAAGATAAAAATATCTATTTATAATACTTGCTATATATTCATATAAAAGTACTCATAAAATTTCTTATAAATATTCACAAGTACTCATATAAAAATAAATCTTTCATACAAATATTCCGCGAACATATTCTTGTTTTTTGAGTACTTAAAAAATATTCTTGTTTTTTGAGTACTTAAAAAATATTCTTGTTTTTTGAGTACTTAAAAAAGTAAAGATATGCAAGATATAAAATAGTACTTATGAATACTTTTTATTACACAAATAAAAAATTAAATAATTTACAAGTGATACTCAGATTCTAAGATAAAAGTATCTATTTATAATACTTGCTATATATATTCAAATACAACGTAAAATTTCTTATAAGTATTCATATAAAAGTACTCACAAAATTTCTAATAAATATTCACAAGTACTCATATAAATATAAATCTCTCATACAAATATTCATGACTCGCGAACATATTCTTGTTTCTTGAGTACTTAAAAAATATTCTTATTTTTTGAGTACTTAAAAAAGTACCCAAAAAATTTTTTAATATTTAAAAAAGTACTAAAAATATTGTTTTTTGAGTACTTAAAGAATTCTAATCCATCTTCATGTTTGAATCTACCTGAAAGTATTGTATTTTTTTTAAGTAATCATAAAAAATTTGAAATGCAAATTTGAACCTACTTGTGGAACACTTAATCCCATTTTTTGCGTGATCGAAAAAAATATGTCGCGCCGTCGACTTTGTTCGTAAAAAACGAGATATTGCTGGATGTGAAAAACATCGCAGCGCGATGCAGAGTCCCGTATAAATCCATCCCGTTCTTTTATCCTGCATTGAATGATCGATGGACGACGTTTCTCGCACAAACGGCGATAAACTTTCGGTCATCGAGATTTCGCGTTCGCCGCTTGAGAAAGAAAGAGGGATTTTGCGGGCGAAAAGTCTCGTAATCTTTTGATCGTTATGGAAAATTGAGAAAGATTCTCGCTCTGGGTAAGATGTAGCAAAAAATTATTGTGGTTACATTTTGGAATCGCTGTAAATTAGAAATGTTTAATTTTTCAAAATACAGAACAAGAGCGAAACGACTTGTGCACGTATATATACATATATAACTTTTTTTATTATTTAAATAATATATAATATATATAAATAATATTTTTGATTAATTATTAATATATACAAAATGTCTTAAAATCCCCTTTTGTTTTTTTTTTTAATATTAGATTCTTTGGCCAATTTAGAGATTAATTTGGAGATTAATTTTTTCTTATCAAAAATATTAAGGTAAAGTGAAAATATTGATAGAAGCGAAAATAGGGATTTTTATAAATTATGTCTTATAGAGTTAAAATGTTAACAAAACATTCTTCGGTTAATTTCAGTAAGAATTCGGTTTAATAGAATTTTAATTAAGTTAGTTAGATATAATTTTATTGAAGTCTAATTATATGGATACACAATGAAAAAAATTGAATTGCTTGCAAAAGATGATTCTTCTTAACATTTTTGCAGAGGAAAAATTGACTTTAAATTGGCTAGAAAATTTCCTATTAAAAGGACATCCGACAATTTTAAAACACTATGTTAGAAATTAAAGAGGTAGTAATATAGTCTGACCAATAACTGTCTTTATTTATTTGCTTGATAATTAATTAACTAATACTCGCTTAAAATATTTGAAAATATAATAACAATTGTAAATATATATATATATATATGTATAACTTTTTAAATTATGTTATATTTTTAGAAGTATAAATATAAGATCGAGTAAATGAAGATAGATATATTAGTAAATATATTATATCAGACTACATTTTACCGTATATATATACGAGTATATATCCATATACAACATCAAGCATTTAAATTGAGACGTCTAAATATACAAAAAATAAAGCAAGATAAGAAGAAATGTCTCAGACAAAAAGCAGGGTTTCGACGGGAACATAATACGTATTATATAATCTAAAATTACCCTTGAGTGCCGTTCTTTACGCTCAATTTAAGACTCACCTAGATTTTTTTAATGGAACCATTTTACTATTTTTTTAGGCGTCTTAAATAAATATTCTACATCTAGTTTTTTTATAAAAAAGTAGAATATTTAGAAAAATATTCTATATTTTATTTAAAAATAAATGTAGGGTATTTATATAAAATTTTATATAAAAAATAAATGCAGGATATTTATATAAAATGCCTGAAAAATATTAGGGGATGGTTTTATTTAAAAATATATATTTTTTATTCTTTTAAGTTATAAATATATTACACAGTTGAAAAATTGTTGTTAAATTTAACAAATATCACATGTCCTAAACAGCCCACAGAAATTTTTGTGTTAATTTAACACAATGTAGTTATATTAAATAGAGACACAAATATATACTGTGTTAATATATACTATGTTGTATATTTTAACACAAAACTTTTAGTAATTTAAAATAAATTTTGTAAAATTAACATAGCTTTAATATAAAAATTATCTAAAAATATATTAATTTTAGATTTTATCATTTCTACTTATATTATAAAATAAAAAATTGACATTTTTTTCTGTAAATTTGAACAGATAAATCTTGTCATTAATAAAACAGAACATATTTATTCTGTAAAATTAAAAATAGGTGCACATTGTATTATCTTTACAATAATTTAACATTTAAGTTCAATTAACACAACAGCAATATGTTAAATTAACACATGAATGTGTTAAATATTTAACACAAAAATTTTAACGGGGATCGTTTTTAATAAATTTTTCTACTGTATACAGGGTGTAACTAAACAAAGGTATGCAAAGCACATCATCGGATACAGGACGACAAACTAAATCGAAAAGTCCTGAGCCATTTTTTAATCTGAGCTTTATTTTTGACGCTATAAATTGTTAAAGTGTGCCAATTAGCGCGTGGCTACAACGGAAAACAGCGTAGGCCCCGCCTTAATAGGCCTTAACACGCCTACTAAAGCGGGGCCTACGCTGTTTTCCGTTGTAGCCACGCGCTAATTGGCACACTTTAACAATTTATAGCGTCAAAAATAAAGCTCTGATTAAAAAATGGCTCAGAACTTTTCGATTTAGTTTGTCGTCCTGCATCCGATGATGTGCTTCGTATAGCTTTGTTTAGTTATACCCTGTGTATGTATATATATATACACAGGGTGTTATAAAAGTACCGGAACAGCAGAATAACTCGAAAAATATGACTCCTAAAAAATTATAAAAACCCAGTACTTAACATTTTTTCTAGGACTCATATTTTTCGAGTTATTCTGCTGTTCCGGTACTATTATAACACCCTGTATACAAAATAAAAACATAAAAAATACAATAAAAAAGATAAAAAGAGCGATTACAGTCACCGAAACTGTATCGCAGACTAAATTTGCTAAAATCTAGAGAGACGAGGCTCACCTTGGAGTACATAAGGCTCAAGGGCAGACTAATCGCGATGCTGAGGATCCACACGAAACTGATCTTCAGAGTAACTCGCTTCTTGGTCTTGTTGCGGCCAAACTTCATCGGGTAACGAAGACTTAGGTAACGGTCCACGCTTATGGTGCACAAGTGCATTATACTCGCGGTGCAGAACAGGACGTCGAGGCAGATCCAGGCGAGGCAATAGACCGACGGCAGCGGAAAGTATCCTGCGAAGCAGCACAAAACGACAGTGAGGGGATGAGTCTTGTACTCGCGACTAATTAAATCCCGACTCAATTAGCGGCGTCTTGCGGCCCGCCAAGATAAATTTCAATTATCCTGACATTCGTTCTTATGCGCGATGTTTTATTCCGCGCGCAGCGAAACTTTTGTCTGCATTAAAGAGACTTTGATGCCGAGACGACGTGTTGTAAAATTAACGACGTATGGAAATTAATTGAGGTCTCAAAATACTTTGTTAGATATTTTTTGAAACCTAATTTTCAGATAGATTTTTCGGAAATAGTTTTCTATTTATCGTACACACAATATTATTTATGATATTTATATTTCATATTAAGTATGTTAAATTTTATTGCGTATGTATTCTGAATTATTTAATACTTGATTGAAAATTAGGAATTGAATTATTTCAAAATATTTATATATTTTTTTAATCTAAATGTTAGAAATATATTTCAGGAATTTTCATTTATTGCACATTTACTTACGATCTTTATGTTAAATATTGAGTATATTAAATTTTATTGCGCATATACATATACTAAATTATATTTTACACTTTTGTGTATATGTGCGAAAATTGATTTATTAAAAATTAAAAATTGAATTTTAAAATCTATTTTAAATATCATGGCTGTACTTCGGAAATTGTTTTTTATTTATTGCGCACAATAATTTATGAGCTTTATTATTTAATATATATGAGATATATGAAATTTTATTTCGTATACATCGAATTATATTTTATATTCTTGCATGTGTACGAAATATTTAAATCACTCGAAAATTATTACTATTAATTAGATGTATCAAAACTGTCATTACATCTCTCAGCTTCTTAGCGTAATATTGCTTTATGACGTAATATACATATATTGAGGTGACATCGATATGTTGGTTCGCCGGTATGCACGATAACGATAGACAAGCAATTTGCATGCGTAGTTTGTTAAGTAAACTTTATAAAGGGCGTGGCAATTTTCCTTTAATCTTCGCTAGATTGCATTCGAGGCAATTCGGAGGGGGCTATTGGATATTAAATTTTCCGTTCCTCTTGTGCCCTTTGCGCGAGAACACGGCGGAAGTGGCGTAATATTATAGCAAATAGAAAGCTGTTATTTCGAGATCGATGTTATCCGGCGCGATATTTCATCCGCTTTTTCCCGACCTTTTAAATTTCCGTTTAATAATTAATCTTAGCACGGTAGCGTCGAGTCTCAAAACGCGTGTTTTTTTTTTTCATTTATTTATTTTTTTTTTTTAAGCTGCCAAAGGCCATAATTGATACGCCCACTTTTAATAAACGTTTTACATCTGACGGACACGGCCGCGCAAAAACTTTAGTTATCTGACCTGTCGGCTCTTCCGGTTTGTAAAACTCCTCCCGCCAAAGGTTAATCTTATTTTACGCGCAAGCACGCAATTAATGAGTGATGAATAAATACACTCGCAAAGTTAATGTTTATTTTTTGCAATTTTTTTTAGAATTTTACGCAAAAATATATCCAGAAAAATTTTATTTTAATTCAAGATATGTATTTATTCAGTAGATTAAAGTACAGGGTTTTATAGGAAATTGTTGAAATTAATTAGCTATTATTTTTTAATGCATGCAGTGATTGCGAAAACAAAGATTGTGTTGAAAGAAGAAACTGCAGTTTTTAATGAATATAAATAAAATGTTTGTGTGAGTTTATTTTATTGTTAAGGGTATCCTAAACGTCCTTGAGAAATCTGTTGTTTTTTTACCTGAAATTAGAGAACGCGTCCTTCTTTGTTAATATTAATACTTTAATTTGTACGGGAAAAAGATTTATCAATCTGCATAGTCTCATACATCTTGAATTCTTAAGAATTCATAAATCTGTAACCTCTTCCTCTTTTTATCACAATTTTTCTCAATAACTGCATGCATTAAAAAATGACAGCTGATTAATTTCAGCAATTTCTTATGGGACACCCTGTATGAACGTACACAATTTTTTTCTCGTCGGACAAATATAGAGAAAACTCGACAAAAAGTGTGGTTTATTTTAGAAATAAATTAGTCGTCCAATTCTTTTTCTTTCTTTTTTTTTTTTTGACAAAAAGAATTCCGCTTATTTTCGAAATTAAGAAATTGAGATTTTAATTTATTTCCGAAATTTATTTTGGAAATAAATTAGTCGTCTAATTTTTTTTTTTTGACGAAAAGGAATTCCGTTTATTTTCGAAATTAAGAGATCGACATTTTAATTTATTTTCGAAATAAATTAGTCGTCTAATTTTTTTTTTTTTTGACAAAAAGAATTCTGCTTATTTTCGAAATTAAGAAATTGAGATTTTAATTTATTTCGAAATAAATTTCGAAATTTATTTTAGAAACAAATTAGTCGTCTAATTTTTTTTTGACGAAAAGGAATTCCGTTTATTTTCGAAATTAAGAGATTGACATTTTCATTTATTTTCGAAATAAATTAGTCGTCTAATTTTTTTTTTTTTTGACAACAAAAATTTCGCTTATTTCGAAATTAAGAAATTGGGATTTTAATTTATTTCGAAAAAAATTTCACAAATAAATTTGTTATTTCAGAAATAAATTAGTCGTCCAATTTTTTTTTTACAAAAAAGAACCGTTTATTTTCGAAAATAATAGCCCGGGATTTTAATTGATTTCCCTCGGAGTACATTTTGACAGCTCGAGTTTTTCAATGCGGAACGCGTCGAGGGAGAGGAAACGTTAATCGACGAAATGTAAATCAGAGGGTACTTTAAAGTACGCTCAAAACAATGGTTAACCTTTGGAATCGAGAAACCTCCCTCTGCGAGGAATCATTAAAATTTCACGAGTGTCGTGCAAATTTCGCGTGGGATGTCGCATTCCGGAGGATTGTGCCTCTGGGAGACGAGCGGAAGGAATGTGCAGCAAGAGAGATCGCGGATCCCGCAACGGAACGACGAGCGGTTAATGCACGAAGGAATTAACGCAACTCCGCGTGTCGAACAAAATTACTCCTCTACAGCAAAAGGGGGTGGTATGGGGAGAGACGCCGTGCAACCCCCGAAACTTGCATATTCATGCCTGCCAGTACGGATTATCCAGCGTGTATATATGTATGTTTATACACCAGCGATCAAATATTTCGCTGTTTTATTAATGCAGAACCGTCATTCGGCCCTGGAGATTCGCGCGCGCGCGCGCGAATGCAGGTGTACGTCGTTTATTAGCGAAGAAAGGATCCGCTTATAATTTATACGCTATTCGAAACATTACGTTATTGTGTACGCAACATTCGCATTTACGCGTATGCACAATATTTACTTATGATATACATGTAATGTTTGTGTATGCTTATGTGTGATACAAGGGCTGAAATGTGTTCCGGCGAGAGAATGTTTATATAAAAGGAAAAATTTGAAAGTACAATTAAAAATAAATAATAATTGACCGCGATCTAATAATTTAATCGAATGATATTGAATTATTATGGAATAATTGAATGATAAATAATCGAAGATTTAATGAGAAATTAAAAATGCATTTTATGTACGATTATACATTGGGTTCACAAAGTAATGGAATAATAATTATTATTAATGGAATAATAATTATTATTCTATTATCAATTCTATACCTAATTTTACATAATGCATTATTTCAAATTTTAATTAAATCTTCAATTATTTATTATTCAATAATTCGATCAAAATTCAATTAAATTATTAGATTGCAGGTATTGTTCAATTATTATTCCATTATCAATTCTATATTTAATGGCACATAATGCATTATTTTTAATTTTTCATTAAATCTTCAATTATTTATCATTGAATAATTCGATCAAAATTCAATCAAATTATTATTAGATCGCAGGTATCGTTCAATTATTATTCCATTATCAATTTTATATCTGATTATATATAATGCATTATTTTAAATTTTAATTAAATCTTTAATTATTTATTATTAAATAATTTGATTAAAATTCAATTAAATTATTAGATCGCAGTTATCGTTCAATTATTATTCCATTATCAATTCTATATTTGATGGCACATATTGCATTATTTCTAATCATTGATTAATTTGATCAAAATTCAATTACATTATTAAATCACAATTATCGTTTATTTATAATAATTGAACAATAACTGCGATCTACATTTTAATCGAACGATTGAGTTAGGATCTGGATATCGAATAATAGAATACTAATTGAAAATATAATTAAAAGTTAAAAGCAATAGAAAAAATGATAAATATTGAATAATAAATAATGGAATAATAAATAATAATAATGAAAATAACAATAATAATAATAATAGAATGATAAAAATGGAATAATTGAATAATAATTGCGATATAATAATTTACTTGAATAATTAAATTTTAATCAAATAATTGAATGATAATCGAAAATATAATTAAAAATAAGAAATAATGCATTATATACAATCATACACATATTATTGGTAATAATAAAATAATAATTAAAAGATAACTGCGATCTAACAATTTAATTGAATTTTGATCGTATTATATGGAATGATAAATCGAAGCTTTAATTAAAAAATTAGAAACAAGACACAATATAAACTCATTTTCTACGTATACATATATTTAATCCGCACATTATTAATTGTAATCGCCTGCTAATTGAAAGGGGGAAAAAGCTATTTACAAAATTGTGCTTACGGAGAAAAAGCAACTTTGAAAGAAGTTACAAGGGATTATAAAGAATTTAGCGTCTCTAAATTACCGAAGCGTCTGCGAGAGAAAAAAACTTAAAATTCTCGACGTAAGTACTGCGTTAAAGCGCTGCTTCCGCGGCATAAAATTGCAGAACAAATTAACCGGCGCAGCTCATTTCCGCTGCACTGTGGTCGAAGAGGAGATGCACTCTCTCTCCACTGGAGTAATCTAGAACTGTCTCCTTCCTATTTTTTTTTCTCCTCGCCAAGCTTTTAAACGAAAATAATAAATTTCCACTTTCATTATTAACGA